AAACGGTAACCTGGTTGCCGAGTTCACGAAGTGAATTGGCTTGTTTTACAACGTCTTTGCCAAGCGACGAAAACCCAATCCCGATGGCAAACACCGGGGGGGGCGGCTTGTTTTACAACGTCGTTGCCAAGCGACGAAAACCCAACCCCGATGACAAACACGGGGGGGGGGAGAGGGGGGGGCGAAACCTTTTGGGATCCTTGGGAAGCCGAGGACCTCGAAGGGAATAGCGTTGCATCGCCCACAAAGGCAGCGCAGCAAAGCAGCAGCGAGAGAAAAGAGTGTTCGTTTGGGACTTGATCGAATATTAATGCAGTACAGGCGCGCAATTAAGAAAAATTCCGTCAAGAAAAAAGGCTCAATTTTTTACGAAAATATGAAAAAAGGACCATTGATATAAGAAATACAGCTCAAGCTCGGCCACAACGTAAGAAACGCCCCAACAAGAAACATGCTCGTGCGATTTCCCCAATACATGAGAAACAAGGGTTGCTGGGGGAAACTCTTAGGTTCAGTACGAATGTGCCATAGCGATGAATTCGCACGCCGCACGAACAAGGTTAGTACGCACAATCCAAGCCTTTGTGATGTACCGCTACGATTTTTCAGTCGCCATTTTGGAAACGAGACCTTTGTCATCGGGTTCGGCAAGGTACAACGCACCTCGGATGCTATTGTTGCGGCCCGACTCTGCAGCGCTAAGAATCACGTTTGTTTTTGGCTAGACCAACATTAACGATGATGTGCATAGGCTTCATATCGATCAGGGTGACGAGAAGGATATGTCAGGAGAGAGCTATGCTGAAGTCGGCTGCCGCAGGCACTCACGCAGGGTCTGATGTGCGGCCTCACTGCCATGTCCTGTAAGCTTTCAAACTCGGGCCGCTACAGTAGCGTCTGAAGTTATTACGTGTAACTCACCGAAGTCCACTTAAAGGATTCGGTCAGCACATGGAGACAGAAATTCTGCAGTGGTATATCACGAAGGGCCCGTTCACTCGCGAATGCGGACGTTTTTATCGCGATGGTAGATTCGCACTGACGTCAAATCGAGCTTTTCCTGGGTTACTGAAGAGAAAATCTGCACAACTCCTCCGCGCCGTCAATGTAGCGGTGGAGTTGTTCGCGCATTCTCTCAAGAAAAAAGGAGGAAACTCCACCACGAATCAATTGATCATCGCGCCGAAACTATCGGCGGACGTCGCGAGGGCGCACATTCACCTCCTGTACCATGTTAACAGTTCACCGGAAACAACACAACGGGTGCTAGTTTTTTAAATTTCTCCCTCAAAAGAAAGCAGTTTCATTACTTTACCTTCAAACATTAACGAGAAACTTCGAGCGATAATTCGATTCATGAGGTGATGAGAAAATGTGGTATTGGCAATCAAACCGCGTGTAGAAGATGACGGCTTCTACGAGCTTCACATGATTTAGGTTTTCGAGACCGCATGTCAAACTGCTGCACTACCCAATATCGAGCCTGTGGCAGCTCCTGTAAATGTCCATTCCTCCTCTGTACTATGTATGCCTTGTACCCAAACGTCCACTGCCCTCGACAGGCGCCACCATGTCTCTCTTTGGTGGATTGGATGATGGAGTCGTGGAGTCTATCCCCACTTTAATCGACGAGGACCTGGAGGATCTTTTCGCTGGTGAGACACTTGTACTACTAATACCGATGGCCAGTGGTACAAGCAGTGCTGGTGCTCCCTCTGGCATGATCGCTGCTAGTTGCCGGTCATGCACGTATTTGTGGCACGGTCGCTGCTATGGAAGCGTACGAGACGAACAAAGTGTTGGAACCATTTGTGTGCGTTCGTTCGCAACGACGCGGCCATGAACCCAGCACCGCGCATTACAACTGGGAGTAAGAACGTTGCACAGGTTGTGGAAAACTGGGAGAATATCGGAAATGCCATGATATACAGTCGTACCTCGATGAAAGAAACGCCTGTTTTTTTTACAACTATCCTCGAGATTCAGGTGGAGATAGGTCAACATCCCCGAGAGTAACGGAGGTGTTTTGTACGTCAGTTTATCCGCGTTGGTGGGGGTTAGGAGGCCGAACGGACACGATAGACAGGGCTGAGAGCAACCCATGGCCTCGTCGAAGCACGTTCATTAGTCGAATCAAGGCGTTGTCAGATTGTTACCGTTGACTAACTGAACGGTCTATCTGGTGCGGCGCACTATCCTACTCTGCACGACTAGCCGGCAGCGAGGGAGTGCTACAGGGATGTTCTACAGACACATGTTCCCCAAACCACGGCAGTTAGTAGAGGACAGGAAGACACTCCTTGTCCATCCATAAGTCGCGAACGAAGAGTCTCCTACACTGCCCCCTCCATTGCATACGAAAAGCAGAGTTCCTCCAAACGGTAGTGAACCTGGGTCTCTGAACGCCACGCCTCTGCAAGCCACGTTGTAGTTCACGATTGACATACCGCCGTCGCCGTGTTCCTTGATCATTTACATGTCGTCAACCTTTGTACTACATTTTTTAGGCCTGCTCTAATGCCTTGCCTGAACTTTAATATCTACCGCTTGTCCCAACACCTGCGGGTTGGCTTATACAATAAAAGTCACGTCTTGGTGTCTTCATGTCCCCTGCTGCCCAAACCCTTCCTCCCTGATGCTTTGACCACAAGAGAAAGTATGCATCGTCCGCCCGCAAGAGCACTGATACTCTGTTGCGATACGCACATACTTCATCGTGTGGTTCGTTCTCCACATGTCATGTGGACGAAGGCGAGCTGCTAGCAGGCGAGAGGTCTACCGAATATTTGCTTTGAGAACGCCCCACCCCAATAATTACCGCTGGGGCAATCGTTTTTATGCCAATGATTTGTGTTTGTTCGACCCCCTTTTGTGAGGTCATCCCATTTTTTGGCTCCCCATTGGGCGTTCACAGGATAGTCGTTGGCACTCATGCCGTCAACGTTGACTTGTCGCCCCGGGCTGATGTTTTTGTTTGTCTTCTTTAGCCTCCCGACCGCTGAGAACTGAGAATGCCCCGGAGTTTATTCCCATAAATGTTTTTGTGCCTCGGGGGATGATCTCAAAGGACACTGCAGTCTTCATATTGTGCCCATGCACAAGAAGCAGTTCCCGGCGCCTCTCTACGGTTTATGTTGTCCAGCAGCAATAATAACCAGAGCGGGGGGACTACAGCATACAACCCATTCCGTGTCCTTTCCATGTATACAGTCCCGCGGATCCCTAGTACTTAGGAAAAATTGCATCCTTCACAAGGGTGTACCAGAGGCATTAATGTACGTACATGTAGTAGCGGCAAGGGCTGAGCGCGCAGTACATACCTCACATGGTCCTTGCTTCGACAGTGACAAAGAAGAAAACAAGCAGAGCGAGCCAAGCACCAAGCACGGCCGATACACCCCAGATAAATATATGAACGCCTTTTGTTCTCAGGCTAAACGTTGTGGAGGCATTATTTTGGGGGCACGTGACCAGAAACAACGTCTTGGGCGTTAGGTGCCGGCGGCGCCAGCCTGTGGCAATGTGTTTGTCGCTGGGAATGTTGAGTGTCTGCCTAGCGGTGTTGTGACAGTGGGGGGGGGGGGG